AATACAAGGAAGACCCAAGCAACAGGCACACTCAGGTTCAGACATCACCTCTGTGAGATGCTTGAGTTGGGCAAGAGCTCCCACTACATAGAGTACAACCTTTCCCAGCATTAAAACACAGCAGATCTTCCTTACAGATTTGCTATGTAGCTTCTGTAAGATGAAAGGACCTATTTAAGAAGTGCTGGGTGGTGGTAGATTTCTGTTATTAACCATGCCTATGGAACTCACTGCCGTGGCCGTCTTCTTATTTTCTGCTAAGGTCCAATTTTTGTTATATGATTCATAACCTAAAGCAAAAAAGAAATAGCGTTAACTTGTTTCTATTAACTCTGGACTCCTCTCTTTCTACTTATACACTTCACATCTATAGATGAAGAATGGCAAATTCTGACAAAAAACCTGGCTTTCCTTAGAACATGGCAGAGAGACTGGGCAGTGGGTAAAGAAGGGGGATACTTGGCATGTTGGCCACCGAGTTGCACACATAGAAGGGATAGGCTCTGAGATTTCAGAATTGGAATACTAGAAAGATCAAATGCTGCTTATGAAGGAGAATGAGATGTCTTTACATGGCTCAGTCAGTCTAGCAGAGCTGGCTAGTTGCTCCAAACCCATTCTTCCACTTTTTCCTGGTCTCATTTTTAGTTGGATGCATGGCCATCCCGGCTAAAGATTCCAATTCCTAACTCTGTTGTTGCTAGTGTGACTGTGAGACTATGTTCTGGTTGAAGAGTGTAGATGCAGTGGATATAGCTACTCGTTATTGTCTGACTAAGAAGAGGTATGCCCTCCATTTGTATTTCCCCTTTTCCAGTAATGAAATGGGGTGATAGGAAGAGCTATCTGGAGCTACACAGACAAATGTTGGAGCAACAAGATAGAAAGGATATGGCCATAAGACGGGGGTTTAAAACATTCTTGGTTAAGCAACAAACAATTCTTTTGTTGACCCTTGTGTTAGTGTGTCCAAAGGAGAAACTAGACAAGGCACTCAGTTCTAAGAGTGGATCCAAGATGGAAGAGGAGGGACAGTCAATGTAAGCAGCTTTGTCAAGAGGTTCCACTGTAGTCTGGGTCACAGTTCGGAGGTCGACTGTTTGTTCACCATGCATGAGGCCCTGGGTGTGAGCCCTAGCAGTATGTAAGGAAGAAAGAGGAAGGAAGGAAGGAAGGAAGGAAGGAAGGAAGGAAGGAAGGAAGGAAGGAAGGAAGGAAGGAAGGAAGAGGGAAAAGTTTACATATAACATAAGCAGTATAATGATTCAGCCACAATACAGCTGACACTTCCAGGTTCCAGGGCCAGCCAAGCCTTCAGGCAGAAGTGCCTAATGACCCCCAGGGATCTTAAAGGACCCTGCATAACCCGTGTGCGTGTGGTTGCAGCACCTACATCTGATACAACTGCAACTGAATGAGCCCTTGCGCACATGCGTGATCTCCACCATCTGTGTATGATGTAACCATGCCATCCCCCTGTGCACATGCTCTTGGCAGCCCTCAAAAGCTGGATGTGCTAACTTCAGTTCTCTTTCTCTCCCCCCCCCCCGCCCCTCTACAAAACGACCTTCACCAGGCCTGTACCCACGCCCCAAAAACTACTAAGGGGATTTGTTGCATGTTTCACGTTTGCTTCTCACTCACACCAGGTAATTTCAAGCAGCACAGAGTTAAGAATCCATTCTATTCTTGTCTCTCAATGATTGTTTCTCTTCGCAGTCTGTTTCACTTACTGGTGCTCACACAACAAATCACACTAACACTTGGTGGCATAAACCATAGCAGCTGATTCCTGAGGATCTGTGGGCTGCCAGGAAAGTTCTAGGGCTTCATATGGTATTAACTGAGGCACCAGGATGCCAGTCAGTCCAAATAGCTAGCTGTGGGTATCACTGCTGCCTGGAAGCTCATCTAGGGCTATTAGTTAGGGGCTTGATTCTCACTCAGTCTTCTCCATGTGGCTGCTTAGTCTCCTCATTGCATGGCAGCAAGGTTCTGAGAAGAGACCATCTAATATACAAGTATATGCTATTATGTGGGCATGGTAGAGTTCTGAATTCCAACACTGGGAAAAGACATTGGGGACTTGATAGCATCTGACAAACAAACATGATCACAAGAGGCAGGTAAGATCTGAAGAAGGAAGAGGTTATGTGTGGAGGGCAGAAGGTAGGGTATGGGGAGCTTTGTTTTCTTGATTGTAGTGACAATATCCCAGGTCTACACATGCTCACTCTTGTCAAATTGTATACTTTGAAATTTGCACAAATTATTGTGTACCAATTACACTTCAGTACAGCTACTTGAAAAGTGAAAGTGTTCTATTTACAGAATAAAATATTTCAATAAGTTACCATCTGGGTGGGAGGTGGGGTGGTGGAATAAGCTGTGGCGATTACTAGGGATACTTAAAGTGCGTATGGAATAGTATCAAGAAACTTGTTGGCTATCTAAGCAGAGGAAAACAGTAGATATGTAATTCTGGGTAGGCTGAAATATTTGTTCAAATATGGGAGTTAGACAGGATTAGGAAAAATATCCCAAATGAAACACACTCGTAAGTTGAACATTGTATATTATTATTGTCTTCATTTGCCTGTGTTTCCTGTTATGGCTACAGTTTTTTTTTTTTAGAGCAAACTATAGCTCTCTCAAGCCTTCTGTGTTTTCCTTCCATCTGTTCAATGCTTAGTCTTCTGTAAAATCCATGTATGTCAAAAGCACTCTGTTTCTATATGGTCCACTTCCAGTGCAAGGCCCCGGAGCCAAGCTGAAGTGTCTGGGAGATGATATAGGTGATCTGTGGGAGCTCCAGACCAGGTTGTTCTACGTAACGAGTTCTAGGCAAGTCAGAGATAATAATAGCGATAAAAATAATTCAGTACAAGATATGGTTGGGGAAAGACAAGAGGGGAGCAGCAGTGTAGGAGGGCAGTGGTACTCCTGCCCCAGCCTCCTCTGATGACAGAGACCTACCTAGCACTTGAACCTGATGTCAAGGCTGTTATGCCAAGGACTGACAGAGATGAAGGTGGCTGAGACTTTGCAGGCCACACTGAGCTTGGAGACCTACACTCAACTACAGGGAAATTGCCTTACTGCTGCAGTAACAGGGTCAGTGGTTTTGGGTTCTGCTGAAAGAACAGCTTTGTTTTGGTTGTAAGCAACACAGACAGTAAGGGTCATCGTTCCCCCTATTGCCTTCCAATTAACCACTCATCAAAACGTCCTGTCTTAGAGAAAGGATTAGAAGGCAACAAAAAAAGTGGTCCTTCTGGAGAGGTGACTCGGTGTGCTGGGTTTTATTGAAATGCGTTAGCACCGCCAAGAAACCCCCGGCTTTAGTTAGGAATTGCCAAAAGATAAGATCACAGTACTTCAGTGTTTAGATATTTTTTGGCTTTTCTTTCAATCCTGCAGTTGAGCAGCACCCCATTCTACAAGAGAGTCATTGGCACAGTGGTGAGAACAAAGGTGGCAAAGGTAGAGGAGGGACTCCAGACGGCACCTACAAAACTCAGACTGATGACTTCGGAGTTTGTTTCTGTGACATTGGAGATTTGTCTTGGGTCCTTACCCAGGCTGGATCAGTGCTCTTCCACAGAGCCACCTCCTCAACCCCTGGAGTGTCTTTCTTGTAAACCAGGGACAAGTAAAGCCAGAAGGGGACAAGTCAACAATGGAGTCCTACGAACTGCTTCTTTTGTTTAAGGATTAAGAGACTGAGTTTCACCAATGATAGCCTTTGCTGGAGAGGTTGTGGAGAAAGGGGTACACTCATCCATTGCTGGTGGGAATGCAAACTTGTGCAACCACTATGGAAAGCAGTGTGGAGGTTTCTCAGGAAATTCGGGATCAACCTACCCATGGACCCAGCAATACCACTCTTGGGAATATACCCAAGAGAGGCCTTATCATACAACAAAAGTATATGCTCTACTATGTTTATAGCAGCATTGTTTGTAATAGCCAGAACCTGGAAACAACCTAGATGCCCTTCAATTGAAGAATGGATGAAGAAAGTATGGAATATATACATATTAGAGTACTACTCAGCAGTAAAAAACAAGGA